ATTTCACAGAGTAAATGCGCTCACTCTACTGCAGTATGCCTATGCTGATGAGATTAAAGATTTTGATGTACAAAATTATTTTATTATCAGAAATTTGTTTTTAAGGCATTAAAGAAATTCAGTGTTGACAACCAAAGTATAATCATTTCAAAATATTTTATTTGTATAGGTCATAGCATGTTTTATAGTGGTCTTTGAGATTAATACCACACGTGATATTTCAAAATTGTTAAWCAAAATTTCACGACCAAAGCGGGATTGAAATTCGTGACAATTTTGAAATACCACAATTCCACGTACAAAACATGCTATTATTTGTTTATAAAATGGTTGAATTAAATTGTGCATCATACCACTATATTAAGGATAAATACCACTCCTCTAAKCCAATCAAATTTGCACAATTTTATTCAACCATATTGTAATTTGTAAATAACACAATCTTTTTTAGTTTTGTTTTTTTACATAAGCGGAAAACAAAAACACAATACATGCAACAACCTCTATTTTTATTTCTGCCTTTATACACACTGCTTTTTTTTTTTCAAAAAAACTCATGTCTTTATTTTTGCTATATGTTGCAATGTTCTTATAGCGACAATAAAAGAGAAGTTGAAAAATAAAAAAAACAACATTATAGTCTTGTGTGAACTGTTCRACAGAAGAAGTATTTTAAATATACCCGGAAAATCGTCCTTTATTATAAAAAAACATACATTTTTCAATACATAGCTCTATCATGGATCTGTGTGAACGTACATAACTTCAACAAAACTGATATAACAACGTCTTACAAATTGCTTTCATTGCAATATTTMTAACTATCCTAGTAGATGTATGTTTTATAATATTTATTCGAGATTAATGTTTTAGAATACATACATATTTACTATGGTAACATGGAGTAATATAATAATAATGATTATAATYAATAATAATGGGCTGACAATAGCACCATGTTACAACAAATAAAATCTATAATAACTATAAAAGATACCGGAACCGGAGATTAAGATGAAAAAGAAATAGATGATTTCTTGCTTTTTTTCTTGAAAAGTTGTTTCTGTCTAACACGTGCACTGAGTCTTTTCAAGCCTACAAATAAAGACAATTTATCGATAAGATCAGAATTGCATACAATTTTATACGACTGCATGAGTGTAGTTTCGTCCCTTTTTATCAAGCCAGTACACAAGGAATCTCAGTTCCCCTCCCACACACACGCACTAGAAATTATAAAAACCAAAAAAAAGGCCCACCCATTCTCGCTACAGTCTGTATAGGGTTCGGTGTACGCATTTCACCATGGTATACTTACATTTCCTTTTCCACGGGCTTCTCCTTTTAAACGTAATTTCGTTACTGCACTCACTCATACTGGTTCGATCAATTTCACCRATCAAAGTATCGTCTGAACTCTCAATTGCTGTAAGACAAAAAGCCCGTCGCATTATATACGGTTTTACAGTCGGATCTCTCCTACAATGCAGATAGAATATATACTAAAGGTTTGACCCTCCATTGTCCTCGGTTTAATAGTCAGGTCCTATATAAATTCCTAGATCGTTTGTACTGAAAAACAATAAAATATATCGAGACAAAATACTCAC